GCACAGAACCTCGCACATAGAATCTTTCTTCCCCTTAAATGATACAACTTTTGTGAGAGGGATGTCCCCATGACCAGGCCTAAACCGGCAGACATCCTCTGAGGGGTCCCGGATTGGAGAGGGTGCAGGCTGGGCTGAGGCGACACCCTCTTATACAAGAATTTCGGGCACCGGCTTCTAGTCCCAGGTCCTTGGTGCCTGCCGGCAGCGGCAGCCAGAGGGAGGCCTGGGTGCCAGAGGAAAGCTGGTGCTGGCAGTTGGGAAAGAAGGCCTACTCTTGCACGAATTACAGGCATAGGCCTCTAGTCTAATATAAAGTTAATATCCTTTTAATCTCACAGTAAATACATATATGGCACTTTGAAGCTTCTACTTTCCATATACTCTTTTCCATCCCTTCCCCCAACTCCCTATTTTTGAGAGTTGCATGATGTCTACATAGCTAGAACATACAACGAATTGTATACTAGTCTGTCACCTTTATACTCATCATTTGTTATTAGTCCTACAGGTAACATTTTAAATGTTTACCATAATTCTTTATGTCAAAGTTTCTCTAGTCATTTCTTGGTAATTTGGAGCTCATTCTTTAGTAGAAGGGCTCATGGGAACATTATTCCATGAGTACTTGCATGTTTAATACCAGTTTGTCTTTATAACTTTTATTTTTAAAGATAAACTTAATTTGATATAAAATCCTACAGTCATCTTTTTTTCTTGAGTACCTTAAGTATGTTGTTCTGTTGTCTTCTGATTTCAGTCTGATTTTCTTTTCCTTCTATTGAAGACTTGGTAATTTTGCCTGGATGCCCAAAGAATGTTTTTCCTTTAATGACCAATAACTTTACCAGACTATACAGGGTGGGGCAAAAGTAGGTTTACAGTTGTTCATATGGAAAATAATACAATTAATAAATAATATTATAAGACTAAACTCTGTCTTATACTCACAACTATAAACCAACTTTTGCCCTACCATGTACCTAAGTGATTTTTCTAAGCAAATTTTCTAGTTACCGTATTTTTCGGACCATAAGACGCACTTTTTCCCCCCCAGAAGTGGGGGAAAAAAGTCCCTGCGTCTTATGGTCCAAATATAGCCTACACATATACTTTAAAAAAAAAGTTTTTTCTACTTGCCCGGCTCTGTGTGGTCTCTGTGTGCTTGCCCGGCTCTAAAATGGTTCTAAATGCTGCTGTTTACTTTACAGGGTTGATTACATGTGTTTATGACTGTGATGTTGGGTTTTAATGCACATAAAATATTTTAGGACACTATTTGTTTCAGAATCTTTTTTTCTTCATTTCCCTTCTCTAAAAACTGGTGCGTCTTATGGTCCGGAGCGTCTTATGGTCCGAAAAATACGGTAATAGTTTATAATGTATCTTTTGTTCCACTATTTTGTCTTTCTTCTTGGGGATGCCTGCTATTTATTTGTTGGCTCTTCTTTGCCTCTGCATCTCTCACTTTCTCTTGAAACCATTTTTAAAAAATATTTCTTCATTCTATTAGATTGTTTTGGCTGTGTGTGTGTGTCTGTGTGTGACAGAGAGAGAGAGAGAAAGAGAGAGAGAGAGAGAGAGAGAGAGAGAGAGAGAGAAATATCTGTATGAGAGAATGAGAGAGAAACATCTATTAGTTGCGGATGAAAGGTCCGAGGTTCGATTCCGCTCAAGGTCATTCATGTACATTGGTTGCGGGCACATCTCCGGTAGGGGGTGTGCAGGAGGCAGCTGGTCGCTGTTTCTCTCTCATCGATGTTTCTAGCTCTCTATCCTTCTTCCTTCCTCTATGTAAAAAATCAATAAAATAAAAATAAATAAATAAATAAATAACCTTGCAACCTTTTTGGTGTACAGGGCAAGACTCCAACCAACTGAGCCACCTGGCCACTTGGCTGGGGCCTGTTGAATTGTTCTTTTCTTTCTTTCTTTTTTTTTTTTTTTTTTTAATATATTTTTATTGATTTTTTACAGAGAGGAAGGGAGAAAGAGAGAGAGCTAGAAACGTCGATGAGAGAGAAACATCAACTAGCTGCCTCTTGCACACCCCCTACCGGGGATGTGCCCGCAAGCAACGTACATGCCCCTGACTAGAATCGAAACCGGGACCCTTCAGTCGCAGACCGACGCTCTACCGCTGAGCCAAACCGGTTTCGACTGTTGAATTGTTCTTAGTTTTTCTTTTTCCATCTTATTTTCCCTTTTTCCATTGTTAGCTGTAAGGCAGACTGACAGTGAATGCTTAATTTTTCTAGCTTCAGTAGTAGAAACAGGCATGGGGAAGGGAATGGGTGTTAGGTTAGCTTGCTACAGGGTAGAATCATTGGAGGTAAGAATTTGTCTTGAATAAAATGAAAAATGATAAATTTTTAATGATAATAGGATGGATAATTAGCAACATCAGCTATTTTCAATATAGTCCCTGGGAGGTAGAGGGGAACCCTGCTGTATATGTGGGAGGTAGATACTCAGATTATCTTGTGTGTTTTTTATTTTGCCAGGACTTATTTTTTAAAGGTCATTTAAGGTTTTTTTTATTTTTATTATAATTATAAAAGACAAAAATACATTATATTCTAAACTATTTTTGACACTTTAAGCAATAGTCTGCCTCATTAAGTGAGCTGATTTATAGATTTGTCAGTATATTGTACTACATCATTACTTGTCTTTTTTTAGAGTGGAATATTAAAAATGCCCTGATAAATGGGATTATGGAGAGTTGCAGCACTGAAGAAATTTGTTCAAGAAAAGTTTCTTTCCTTCTTGTTAATGTACTTTGAATCAATTCACCAAAAATTTTTGTTTTGTACTAAAAGTTTACATTTTATGTATAACTTATTAAATCTTTGATGCTAGAAATTAATTTGACAGGATGGAAAACAAACATTAAATTTAATTATGAGAGAATAAGCACAAATAATTTCAAAACCTTTCAAATTTCTAGTATCTCTTTACGGTTTCACACTCTAATGGAAATGCTAATGAGCAATGGAAGAATGGAAAAAACAAAAAGGACAAAAGAAATGTCGTTTTAGTAGTTGGAGATTAGTCATGTCTTATAGTATTTCATGATTATTAATGAGCAACAGTTTTTCTCCCTAAGGATTATTGCTTTATAATTATTGAGGACCAACAAGAGTAATTTTCTGCTCTGGCTTGTGTGGTTCAGTTGGTTGAGCGTAGTCCCATGCTGGTTGGATTCCCAGTCATGTCACAGTTGTGGGCTCGATATCCAGTAGGTGGCATACAAGATGCAGTTTATCAGTTGATGTTTCTCTCTCAAATGAATAAAAAAAATACTCTAAAATTTAAAAGTAATTTTCTGTACACCTTTTAGATCAGGGTGAACCTTTTTTTCTGCCAAAGGTCATTCGTTTCATTCGAGGGCTATACAAAATTATGAGTTTAAAAATTAGCCTGCTATATTTGGTCAGACATTTAATTACCTCACTCTAATGCCTCAGCAGGGCCAGACCAGATGATTCTGTGAGCCGGATGTTCCTCACTCCTGTGTTGGATAATTAGGGGGGCTTTGGCTGCTGTATTGGCCTGGAATATAGGCAGATTGTGCATTATTTTTCATTATTTTTTTATCACTTCTTTAGTGGCACAGAAATGTGGCCTAAATGTTTATTGGATGACTATTTTTACTTTGGGATCAAATCTTTTATTTTTTATTTTTTTTAGGGTGCTAGATTGATAGGTAGTTTAATAGCTAATAAATTGAGGCACATTTTGGGCTATACTTTCATAGTTGTTAGATTACAATAACAAAAACTTCAGTGTATTTTTCTTTTGAATGATAAAGTAGGTGTAATGGAGGCAAGTTGACTGAATAGAAGCAAGTATTTTTCTGATTTGTGACAGCAAGTGAACATTTGCTATTACTTTTTAGAAATTTTATATTTTTATTGATTTCAGAGAGAAAGTTTGAAGGGAGACATAGAAACATCAATGATGAGAATCATTGAGCGGCTGCTCCCCCCCTCTCCCCCCCCCCACCCCCCCACTAGGGATCAAGTCTGCAACCCAGGAATGTGCCCTCACCATGAACTGAACCATGAACTCCTGTTTCATAGGTCAGTGCTCAACCACTGAGCCACACTGGTCGGGCTTGCTGTTACTTTTAAGATCCTGGCACTTTTTAAGTAGAAAGCCTGCTGTAACTTCTAGTTTATTCGCTGTGTTGAACAGGCATTCCTTCCTGAGCTCTGTATATAATTTGGTTCATTATTTCCCAAGTGTGGACAAGGTATGCTGGTTTCAATTTAACTCTTCCCCCTATTATAGTTTTAAATAAAGATCTGAGGATTTTTTATTTTACTTTACTATTTATACACTGCCCCCTTACAATCCTCTTTATTCTTATCTGGATGGATTCTTCTGTACTTAACAAACTCGAGATTAAATTGAGGTAGTTTAGTGGTCCATTGGAGAAAGAATATTTTCTGTGACTATGGACTGCAAAGTAGTCTTTTTTTTTTTAAATATATATTTTATTTATTTTGTACAGAGAGGAAGAGAGAGAGAGAGAGAGGGAGAGTTAGAAACATCGACGAGAGGGAGTCATCGATCAGCTGCCTCTTGCACACCCCGCACTGGGGATATGCCCGCAACCGAGGTACATGCCTTTGACTGGAATCGAACCTGGGACCCGTCAGTCCCCAAGCCGACGCTCTATCTATTGAGCCAAACCGGTTTTGGCCAAAGTAGTCTTCTTAATTAAATATTTAATAGGGACCATGTAATCTAAAATTTTAATGACTCATATAAAGCTGTTGCAATTATAAAGCTATTACAATTCTCAAAATTTATGACTTATGAGACCAAATTGTGTATATTTAGTTTTTAAAAACTGTTACAACTTATTACTTTTCTAATGAGATCCGAAATTTCCCTACTTGTTGGTAAGGGAGGTGTGTTTTTGGTATAACATTAACTTAGCGTAGTATTTTTTGGGATCATCTTAACTTTTATTTGATTTTCTCTCATAGTTGGTGTATGAATTCTTCTTAAGATTTTTGGAAAGCCCTGATTTCCAGCCTAGCATTGCAAAGCGATACATTGATCAGAAATTTGTACAACAGGTAAGGCATTCTTATGTCTTAAATTTTCTTATGTTCACTTTAGCAATGATTTATTAAGTTGTGATTAAAATAAAATAGTCTTTCAAAATATTTTAATATTTCAATTTAACAGTACTTACTGTTCTTGCAAACTAGGATAAAAATTATGTAGCTTTGAGAATGCAAGAGTATTTTAAAGAGAGAGTATTAACTTCTAATGAAGTCAATCAAATTAGCCAATCCAATCCTAGATTCCCAGTTATTTTGTAAAGATCAGAAAAGCCTTTCTGTGATATCTAACAAAATTTGATATTACAATTGTACACCTTTTTAATTTTAAGCCTTTGAACTGAAGTTGACATATTTTAAGCATTGTGCTGTTGAAATGATGGGAAATGGAAATGGGATCATTCTTAGCAGTTGGGCCATTAGAATACTTTCCTATCATAAAGCATCAATAACCTTCCCCTGTTCCTATCCCCTTCCTTCCTTAGGCATTCTAGCCATCCAATTCCTAAATCACAGATAAAATAGGACCTTTAAGAAGAAAAGGAGATAAAGTTAAATATATTGATCCCTTCTTTCTTTTTATAAATTGGTTGTTATTTTTGGGATCTATATACTCAAAATTAATTTCTCAATGTGTTCATTTTTATTTTCAAAATCTTTTAAACAATGTAAATAACTCTTTTTAACTATGTAAGTTTGGCTGGCCCTAGACAAAATTGTGAAGTAGACCAATATTTTCTCTTTTGAAATACTTGTAGGTATGTATTATTAGAATTTTAGAGTTATTTGCATTTTAAAGAAAGATAAAAGGGGATCATTGAACTCCCTACTGAGGCTAGGATTAAAATTACTACAAGAGCCCTTCCTATCCTTTCCCACCATGTGTGTTCCCTATGATAAAAGATTCCATAAACATGAGTTACACATATTTGGAGTTCATTTTTGGTTATTTATAACTATCCCTGACCCTCATATAAAGTATTCTGACTAATTGCTGTGAATCCATATATATATATAAGCCTAAGCGACTGCACACCGACAACCCAGGGGCAGACTCTCAACATAGGAGCTGCCGCCTGGTGTCGGTGCACTCCCACGGCAGGAGTGCGCTCAGCTGACTAAAGGGCACCAGATTCCAGGATCATGGCTGGCAAGGGCAGCTAGGGCTTCGAGAGCCTCTTCCGCCTCTGTGGCAGGATTACCAAGCAGCGGGCAGTGGCAGGCACAGCAGGGCTGGGATGAACAGGACCACCTGGCCCAGCCTTGGACTCCTCCCTGGCCGCCTGCCACTTCACACACATACTACATCCCTCAGGAGATGTCAGACTGCCGGTTTCAGCCTGATCCCCGCAGTCCTGGCTGGCCTGCGATAATCAGGCCAATACTGGCAGTCCAACATCCCCTGAGGGGTCCCGGATTGCAAGAGGGTGCAGGTCAGGATGAGGGTCCCCAGGGGTACACGAATGCCTCTAGTATGGTATAAGGAATTCTAGTAACACCATATTAAATTGTATTTAAAATAATAGCAGGTTGAGAGGAACAAATGCCTTAGTGTTTCCTCAGTGTAGAGCTTGAGGCATTTCAGTTGCTAGATTATTCAGTAGATTTTAAGGGGAACAAGAATAAAACTGGCATAGAGGGACCCATTTCCCATATTTACTCTAAATGCCTGAATTAACTGAGAAGCCAAGGCCCAGTCATTTTTCTAGCAGTTTGTATGATTGCTTTCACAGATAACTTCACGGAGGTATTCCTAGTGTATTGTTTTATTGCATAGCGTGTATGGGGATTCTCTGCTTCTAGATTTTGAAATTATTTGATTAGGTGATAAATATTAAGTCTTAGAGTCTAAGGTATAAATTTGGACAATTCATTTCTTCAAAAGAAGAAAATAATTGTATAGTTTCAGGTTATGTTCAAATCATAGTTTCAGAAGAAGGAAGGAAGGTAAGAATTATTGAGTACATTTTATGTGCCAAGCACTGTCCATATATTATATATAAAGAGCTTGACCATGTCCAGTTTTAGTCAGTAGATGGCACAATCAGGATTTGAACTTACACTCTCTGACCTCTGACCTTTTCTTTAAAAAAGCCAAAACAAAAAAGAATTAGTTTCAATCCTTCTCATTTTATCAATGAAGAAATAGGCTCTTGGGTTATAAGTTAGTCTTAAAAGTACAATTAGATAAAAGTATCAGTGTCAGAATAAGAAAGTTTCCTGAATACTAGTTTAGTATGTGTTTCATTGTGTTACTATTATATTCAATAAATTTGTTTAGGTTATATTTCAAAATAGGTTTCTTTAAATAGGGTTGACACTTTGCTAACAACTGTTCTCTAGTTAAATGTTTTCCCCAAGGATAAACTTGAACTAGACGTGACCACCTTAATTAAGGGCCACTGTTATTAATTTGAAAGCATATCTTCCAAGTATTATAACTCATCATCAAAAACTTGTATATGCGTGTTTTGAGTGTGTTAAGTGATTAGTTATTTTTAATTAGAATAATTTGAATTGAACTTAATAGGAACATTAACACAAATTCTCATGTTCCAAAGATGGTTTTATTGAAGCCTCATACAGTACTTTCATAAACTCATGCACAAAGCAAGACACTTGTTTAGGAGAATATAAATATGACAAAAGGCATCACTATCCTCAAAAAATATTAACTCTAGTAGAAGAGATACATATGTACACACTTACATGTAATTCAAGATAGAATGGAAAAAGAACTTCCAATGATGTTCAGAGCTTATGATCTTAACTGTAATTATCAATACCAAAGTACAGAACATAAAATTTCTTCACAACTTCATTCAAGAGAGATTATAATTTTTCCTAAGCAACACGTTTCATTTAAAATATAGTAATATATTTTTTGGCATAAGAAATTCAGTTTCTGTACCACTTTAAAAATGTGAGCTTTTGACTTTTTTTTTGAAGATCTCTTCTTATCCTATCTTTGCTAAAGAATTGTGTAAAGGTATAGGAAATTGATGATTTGACCAATTTGAACTGGCTTAAACTTTTCCAGCCATTTTAGAGAGAGAAGGAGAGAGTGAAACATCGATGTAAGAAAGAAAGAAACATCAATTGGTTGCCTCCCGAATACACTCTGACTGGGTATGTGCCCTGACCCAGAATCAAACCTATCACCTTTTTTGGTGTATGGGATGATGCTCCAATCAACAGAGCCACCTCGTCAGGGCTGCTTAGCTGACTTTAAATAAAAATCTGTGGTCTTTTATTTTAATGTTATTTCATGAACGATCTCCACACTGTTAACATGTATCTTCAATAATTTATCCTATTAACTAAATACTAATTTTTTAAAAATAAATTTTTGTTCAGATTATTACAATTGTTTCTCCTTTTCCTCCCTCCTCCCATAGCTCCCCTCCACCTGGTCCCCACTCCACCCTCTGCCCTTACCTCCTCTTTCTCCCCCCCCCCCCCCCCCCCCCCCGCGCCATCCATAGATACATTATTTTTGTCTCTTCCTGTACCCCCCACACAGACTGAGGATTATCAATCCCCTCCCATTCTATGCCCCTGATTCTATTATATTCATCAGTTAAAAAATAAATAAAAATTAAGAACAACAAATACTTATCTATCAACAAGTAAATCTAAAAGTCAAGTGAATTAAAAATCTAAGGAACAGAATAAATACTAATTTTTGAGCTGTTGGCATGGTGACTCAAATTTTTTTTTAAATGTAAAATCACACACAAAAACAGCCTTGGTTTGTGTGAATCTTTTTAGTAAATTGGAAATACACATGTGCACATGTATTTTAACTTCATTTATTTAATGACTTGCAATCTATAAGCTTCAGGATTTTTGCATGTAATTTTGACTTACTATCAAAAAGCATTAAAAACTCTTAAATTTCAACACTGAAATGGGCCATGTTTAGTAGTCAAGAGTGGGATAGAATTTTAAAATCAGTGGCAGGACAAAAAAGGTATACTTTTTGAAATGAAATAAATGAAGAGAAATTCTCTCTAAGCTTTTCTTTATCTTCACTAGTTAGCAAGACTAAAACCAATATAAGGCAGCATCTTTAAATTTAAAAAAAAAAGTTTCATGGGTTATCTAAAATCAGTATTAGAATAAAGTGAAGTTTTAGCTTGATTATTTTTAAAAAGTAATTTCTCAGCTTTTTTTTAAAGCTCCTGGAACTTTTTGATAGTGAAGATCCCAGAGAACGTGATTTCCTGAAGACTGTTCTGCATAGAATTTATGGGAAATTTCTTGGATTAAGAGCATTCATCAGAAAACAAATTAACAACATTTTCCTCAGGTAAATTGGTCATATATTCATATATAATGCTTTTTACCCCTTTTATATTTTCTTTTTAACTTTAACGAGACATTTTTAGCACATTTTGTGGACATCATTTGCTTGCCTCTAACTTTGTAGAAATGTATAACCTACTTTTCATTTATGTAGATAATAATGAAGTTTTTAATAGATAATACTGTTATTCACGTGTAAGATTTATTGTGAGGAGAATTTGTCTAATTATTTCCTTGAGTTTTTTTGTTTGAAAATTTTGTAAGAACTATTTAAATCAGCTCTTAGAAGTACTTTCATTTGATTTTCTGATAAAGGTAGTTAAATTTATATGTGATCTATCTTTTAGCTACTTTATAAGTGATAGTCTATTTAGTTGCCTCACAGTAGGAGATTTTGCTTTAATACCCACACTTAGGTTTGGTATGTTTGTTTTAAATTGAAGATCTGGCAAAATTAGGCTACAAAAAGAGCATCTCTCTCTCCAGTTTTATGTCATCCTCCCCTTGTCTTGTGTTTCTTTGAATTTGCCTCCCTGCTTTAAGGGTGATCTTAACATTGGAAAGCTAGGCAGCCTGTGTGGTTTAGGTTTAGAGAATTCTGAATGATGGTGGCTTTATTATACATGGGTTCTTTTCTCTTGGATTTTCCTGAGTAAGGCTTCCTATTTTAAAAAGTATTTCCTCGAGGAAACCCATCTTTCTCAAAGTTTTAAGTAAAAATATTTCAGGTGAAAGAATATTATCTTAACATATAGCAAGTTTTAACCAAAGTATATGCTTAAAATGAAATATTTAAAAGTATCTGGTTTAGCTCTGGCCAGGTGACTCGGTGGTGGAGTGTTATCCCACATGCTAAAAGGTTGTGGGTTCCATTCCCTGTCAGGGCACACAAGGGAGGCAACCAGTCAATGTTTCTCCTTCCTTCCTCTCTAAAAAATCAAATCATATCCTTTTTTGTTTTGTTTTTTTAAGTATCTGGTTTGGTAGGAAATAGGCTTTCTTTTATAAGATTGCTGAGAAGTAACTGATTTGGGGCAAAACCATTTATAAGGAATTCTTACAGCATTCTTGTACAGTTCTTATAGTTACCCTTGGGGGTTTACTTCTTTCTCTTAGTTTTCTGATATTTTGTTTTTCATTACATCTATCGTTATTTTAAATTCAGGTTTATATATGAAACAGAACATTTCAATGGTGTTGCTGAACTCCTGGAAATATTAGGAAGGTAGGTCAGTTTTGTGTTTTATTTTTCCTTGTTCTTTTTAAGAATTAAGTAAGTTTGAATATCTTATGTGTGAAAATCTTAGCTGGTGTTGGAGAAATTATACTTAAATATAGACTGCAAGACATCGTTTCTCAACTGAATTCTTATTATAGTTTTCTTTGGAGGGTCAGCATTTTTAAAGTACTGCCATGCAAGACATCTGTTTCAGAATAGGCTTCTTGCTTTTGAAGCTGTGGCATGTTTTATGCCCTATCTTGCCAGACTGCCTCAGAAATTTATAGGATCTGATTGGGAAGAGATGAAATAAGCTACAGTGAATCCTTTGATGAAGTTATAAGACTTCTTGTTCATAGGTTGATATACCATTCTTTATTCACCTGTTATTTTTAGAAGATTGTACAGCCTTTGATTTTAGTTTACATGAACATTTGCCTTCCTTATTAACTTGAGAAACGTTTAGACCCCTGTATTTATACTAGAGGAAGCTAAAATCTTTAGTAATTAACAGAATGACTATGGAGAGAATTACTTCTTAGTTTACGATCCTTCAATAAAATCAGAGAAACAACCCATTTACTTCAGAAATATTAAAAATTCTTATTGTAATATTGATTCTGACTTTAGGGATGAAAAAAATAAAGGTAACAGTGCATAAAGTGATAAGCTTATATAGGAAATGAAGATAGAAATTACTCACTGGAACATTAATTGGTAGTCTTATGAATGACTTAAAGACTTCATAGAAATAGTTTGTCTAAAGTAGTTTGAAGATGAGCAAGTAATTCAATACCAGGATCAAAGCAGAGCACAGTTCCTTATATACTGATGGCTATAATAACTTTTAGAAATAAGTAATAACTACTTAACCCTTCCCCCTGCCTTTTTTCCCCTCCAGTATTATCAATGGCTTTGCATTGCCACTGAAAGCAGAACATAAACAATTTCTAATGAAGGTTCTTATTCCTATGCATACTGCAAAAGGATTAGCTTTGTTTCATGCTCAGGTAAGCTTCAAAAAACTTTCAAGTGAAATGAATATTGTTTCAAAGACTGATATAAAGGCAGAGAAATTGAGAAGTACTGAGTTGGCGATTTTAAGTATATTTAAGCAATTTGGTTTTTAAGTTGCCCAAATAAAATTTTATAATTTAAAGTATTTTTAGTGTTATTAAATAAGGTCAGTGCATATTGAGTATAGACATAGGAAAGAAAATGTCAAGCTCTTTTCTAGTCCAGGCCCTGACCTACTTAATTAACTAAATGGCATCGAATAAATCCCACATAACTGCAGTGTTCTGTTTAGCTGCAATAACCTAGTGAGTCTCTCTTAGAGAATAATATATCAGCGTGGCATACATACTGAAAAGGTAAAATGTTAAGCTCTAGTCTTATTTCAATTAACTTTATATTCAGAAGTTATTTTCAAGGTAAAACAGTTATCCAATTGTGAATATACTAATTTTTATATAGTATTGAGATTAAGCTAGAGTAAAACTCATCAAAATGAGGTAGTCATTTTTGTTAGCTAAATATAAAAACCCTGCATCACTAAATGTTACTTCACTCAGTAATATTTATAAACTGTCCCTTCCATTTTAGTTAGCCTACTGTGTTGTACAGTTCCTGGAGAAAGATACAACACTAACAGAACCAGTAAGTGGTCTATTTATTTTTATATTTTGGGTCTACATTGGAGCATTTCATTGTACCTTTCTTTATACTGTTATATATCATTACAGAGTTATCAACAGTAGTAGTAATATACTTTAAACTAAAATCATTGACAAGGAATGAGAGGTTAACCTACATTCAAAGAATAGGGTTAGAAAGAGGAGTTCTAAGTTATGTGTCTTAAATAACTTAAATATAACTTTAAATATAAATTAATATTAACATAGTAGTTGAGATGGGTAATGACAGGATCAAATGACTACACTGAAATTTTATATACATATTATCTTCACTGATAATCTTTTTAATCTTCATTTACCTTTTAAAATTAAAATATACCATGGAAGTCCCAAAATTATTCCCTTGAGATATGTCTTTACAAATAGCATTTTTCCTCTTATTAATGATAAACAACATGATTGGGATTGAAAACGTTTCCTTACCTTTGGAGCTTAAGCTATAATCTTGGAATAAAGATTGTTTAGTTTATGAATCAGCATAGCAATTCACTATTTGCATTCTATTGCTGACTATTTAACTATCATATGAAGATTCAGGAGAAAATAAAAATGCTATGAAAATTAACTGAAGATTCAAGAAAAACAAAAGATGGCAGGGAGAAATAGTAAAGTATAAAAGAATAAAACCTTGGTGAACTGAAAATTTTAATAGTACTTTCTAAGTAACCTAAATCTGAGTATTTAAACTAAGAGTTTTTGAAGTATTGCTGAAGGTTTGCAGGATTTAAACTGCTGTCCCTAGGTGTGCTTGGAAACTTATGTTTTTAGTATTCTCCCTTATATTTTGAGTTTTTAGACTTGCAGTTATTTCTGAAAACAGCTAGAAATACTTTTAAAAACAAATCAGAAGAATTAGAAAGCCCACTTTGTACATGAATCCACATAAATTTCTGCAGTGGATTAAAACTTAATACAAATCCATAATTCATTAGAATTGAGACAAATAAAGCCTATAACATAACTGATGGTTCATGTTGGTGAATAGTAAACAGATATAATTTAAGTATATTAAATTAACATGGGTGGCTGGGGAGATTTCTTTTTAAAGAGGGATGATGGCCAGATGAGTTGGGTTCATGGAAATTGAAAGAGTAATGTAAATGCCTAAGTTGACAAAAATATTTTTCAATCCATGAGACACCTTGCAGTTTCTACCATCGGCTATTCCAGCACCAAAATTATGGCCATGTTACTTGGGTCTCAGCCTTAATATTCATTTCCTAGAAATCTGGCATTCATATCAAAGGTTCCTAAAAATTATAAATAAGCTGTGGCTAGTAGTTTTACATTCTATATGTACCTTAATTTTGCATTGAAATTATTTTCTGAAATAGAAATGACTATTTCTGTTTATGAAAGTAATCTGTGTTAATTTGGTTCACATAATACAAAATCAGAAAGCACAATGTGGAGGTAAATACTTATAAGTGAATATATTTCTAGAAAATTTTTCTATATTTATGTGTAGTTAAACAAATGGTGGGACAGTGCTTTTTTTTTTTTTCACCTCTCAATATAATGTGAGATGTAATATCTTTCCATATGAACCTGATTATTTTGTTCACTGGTAGCATCAGATTCCATTATAGATTACCCTAACATACAATTTAATTAATCTTCCATTAATGAGTACTTGAATTATAGTTTTCATTGTTATAGTCATATTGTTGGGTGAAAGGGTGTTTTAGGGGGTTGGATTTGTGCTGTGTCCTGTCTGTGGTGTTTGTTACAAAAAAATGTGTGTGTATTAAACCCCTCAGAACTATACATACTGCAAGTAAATTTTTAAACCTATTAGCCAAAGAATCCATGGAAATTTTAACATGTTCTAAGTTGCCTTCCACAGAGTTTAATTTAGATGCCTGTTTTCCCTCACCCTAGCAGGATATGAAGTTTAAAATTTTTTGCTGATATTAAAATTTTAAAAAAATATATTTTATTGATTTTTTACAGAGAGGAAGGGAGAGAGACAGAGTTTGAAACATTGATCAGCTACCTCCTGCACACCCCCTTACTGGGGATGTGCCCACAACCAAGGTACATGCCCTTGACTGGATGCTCTATCCACTGAACCAAACAGGTTTCAGCTGATATTAAAATTTGTTAGCTTAATAGATATGAAATATTTTAATTGGCTTTTTCATTATTTACAAGGATTGAGCCATCCTTTTAAATGGTTATTGGTCATTTATATTTCTGTGTTCTTGGCCTGCTTTTTATCCTTTTCCTGTATTTTGCAAATATTTTTGTTCATTTGAAGTTTTTCTTTAATTTTGAATATAGTTTTTAACTAACTTTGCCTTAAAGAACTAAAAAAAATTTTATGTAGTGGAATGTATTCATCATTATGGCTTCTGGCCTGACATGCTAAGAAAAATCTTTTGAGATGATCAAAATATTCTGTAGTATCCTATTCTGGTTATTTTATGTTTTATCTATAAAAACTTTATCCCATCTACAATTGTTTCCTAGTACTGCCATGACGAATTACCACAAATCTGGTGGCTTAAAATGACAGAAATTATTCTCGCACAGTTCTGAAGGACAGAAGTCCAAAATGAAGGTGTCAGTCAGCAGGGCGGCAGTCCCTCCAGATGGTCTAGGGAAAGTCCCTTCCTTGCCTCTTCCAGTTTCTGGTGTCTCTAGGTTTTCCTTGGCTTGTGGCTGCATTGCTCCAATCTCCCATTGTCTCTTCTGTCTCTGTGACTCTTAAAAGGATTGTTGTTGGATTTAGGGCCCACCCAAATAGCCCAGGGTGACTTTATATTGAGATCTTTAACTTTTAATTATATCTGTAAAGACCCAATTTTCAAATCACATTCATATTCATAGAGTCTAGGATTAGGATATACACACCATCTGAAATTGAAATTTGTGTGTGATAAGAGTAAGGAACTGCATTAGTTTTCTATTGCTGAATAACATTTAAAAATGTAATGGCTTGCTGAAACCGGTTTGGCTCAGTGGATAGAGCGTCAGCTTGCGGACTGAAGGGTCCCGGGTTCAATTCTGATCAAGGGCATGTACCTTAGTTGTGGGTACATCCCCAGTAGGGGGTGTGCAAGAGGCAGCTGATCAATATTCTCTCTCATCGGTGTTTCTAACTCTCTATCCCTCTCTCTTCCTCTCTGTAAAAAAATCAATTAAAAAAATTAATGGCTTAAAATAAACAACTCATATAAAGGCTCAGATGAGGAAGGATCTGCTTCTGAGTTCACATTTGTCAAAAATTCAGTTTCTTAAGTGCTGTTAGACTGAGGGCCTCAGTTTCTAGCTGGCAGTTGGCCACCAGTCACCCTCAATTCCTTGTCAACGTGGGCATTTCCAAATGTAGCAGGTTGCTTTACCAAAGTTGCAAGATGAGGCTTTAGAATCTGTTAGTGAAGTGGAAGTCACTAGGGCAGCCCACACATAAGACAGAAGAGTGTGAATTCAAGAAGTAAAGATCTTGGGAGATTAAGAGTCAGCCTACCAAAGGAGCTACATTTTTCCCCCCTAAATGGTGAGCCACCAGTCTTAGGTACTACTATTTAATTGACTTAAGTAACTAACTCATCTGTTTTTCCCCGTGGAACTGAAATGCCATCTTTGTCATATATTTAAACCATATGTGTGTGTGTGTCTAGTTATAACTGTATTTTATGTCTCTTCTGTCAGTTTTCATGCTAATACCATCTTGTTTCAGCTGCTATCAGTAGTTCAGGTTCCATTCCATTAATTTTCCCTCCTCTCCCTCCATCTCATTCATGGTTATTTGCTTTACATTTATAGCTTTTAGAATAAGTGTTTCTAGTTAACAATTCATTTGGCATTTGATTGAAATATTAAATTTATAGGTTAAGTATAGAAGAAATATCTACAATATTGAATCATGTTATTTACTTAATCTTTAATGATATTCAGTGATGTTTTATAGTTTTCATTGTATAAATGTTACGCATTTCTTACCAGTTGTTTTCTTTATGTACATCAGTTTTTGTTATGAAAGGCATTTTTCACTTGATTATCACTAATACTTTATTTTATGATTTTATCTGACCATATTGAATTTTTTTACTCATTTTAGTAATTTTTTCTACCCATTTAGAAATAGTTATTTTAAAATTATAAAAATGTATAATTAATATATACTTAGAGAATAAGTATAATTCTGATATTCCTTTCTAAAGTTATTCTTCAAAACCTTTTCATTTTACTGGATTAGCTCCAGCACAGTGTTCTCTCCAACTTTAATTTGAATGAGTTTTTCATTACTGGACAAGATCAGTAACTATAACAAATCCTAAAAGGCTGTCAAAGATCTATTTCCACAAAAGCACCAGGCCCAGAGAGTTTTACAGGCTGTTTCTAAAAAAGCATTGTATAATGCTTTCTGATATTGATAGCTTCTTAGTTCTGTCTTTCTAAAATTTTATCAGAATAAATATCAACTGTTCAAATTTTTTTGAGATATAATCTACAACTATGAGTGGAACCATGCTGGAATAAATTAGATAGTATTCTGTTAATATGCTGTTAGATTCACTTAGTTGCAAAAATTTGTATTATAGTTTGGTTATCAAGATTATGCTAGCTATTAAATAAACTGGGGAGCTTTCTGGTGCTTCATAATATTGTAGTTTATTTGTCTCTTAGTTTCTCCCTAAAATAACCTGTGCTCCTCAGCCCAGTAGTTACTATATTTTATTTTCTTATTAGCACTTACTGCTATTGAAATTATTTTTTTATATGTCTAATTGATAACATATGTTGATCTCTCTGCTTTATGCAAATCATGAACAGTATCTGGTACAAAAGCATTCAATAAACAAATAAAATCTGGGATACACTTAGATAATACTTCAGATAATACTTCAGAATGAATATTGATATAACCGCAATTACTTAAAATTTCCTGGAATTAACTAACTTCATTGCTTAATTACATTAGCTAAACTTTTCCTTTTGCAGGTGATCAGAGGATTGCTGAAATTTTGGCCAAAAACATGTAGCCAGAAAGAGGTAGGTTGGATTCAATAAAAATAGTACATTAAAACACTGGCCTTAGGGCTGTAAACCATATTTCTTTTGGCCCTGCTACTGAGCAGCTGCTCTATGGAGACTTGGTAGAATAACTGTCAAGTCCTTTTGAGTCCAATAAGATAATTGTTTAATGTTTTCTATATTATCATATAATTTGTCATGTTTCTTAAAAAAATTTTTTTAACCTAGGTGATGTTTTTAGGAGAAATTGAAGAAATCTTAGATGTCATTGAACCAACACAGTTCAAAAAAATTGAAGAGCCCCTTTTTAAGCAAATATCTAAGTGTGTATCCAGTTCTCATTTTCAGGTATGATGTACTCAACAAAGCCATATTTTATACTACTACTTTTATCTCTCGTTTTTGACATTGATAAATATTTTTCTTTCAGGTTGCAGAAAGGGCGTTGTACTTCTGGAATAATGAATATATTCTTAGTTTGATTGAGGAGAATATTGATAAAATTCTGCCAATTATGTTTGGTAGTTTGTACAAAATCTCCAAGGAACACTGGAATCCGTAAGTGTCTTTGGCTTTTTAACCTTTTATCTTTTGCTCTCCTAACTCATACATAAAGCCTATGCAGATTTGGAACTTATTCCATGGTTAACATCACATAGTACTATGTGTTTGTATCTTCTTAATTTGAATTTAAAATTACAAATCTCCCTGAAGGTAGGACTTTTAGTGTGACATTCTGCACCAGACCAGTATGTGGTCAGACCCAGCTAATATTTGTGGAGATGCGCCAATGCCAAGTTGGGTTGACCTGCCGCTAATAGCATTCTCATCTCTACAGGGAGTGCTTAAGGTCATGTAAGTGATGCTTAGTCGGCATATATTCTAAATTCTATGACAACATGTTCGTTTTGCTTCTATCGATTTTTTTAGATGAAGGGATAGAGAAACATTATTGACTGGCTGTTCCTGCATGCCCCTTACTGGTGACATATTGTTTTCTGAGTCAGCACTCAACTGCTGAGCCACAGCAGCTGGGTTCCGGTCCTTTAAAAGATGATTAGAGCAGCCGAAACCGGTTTGGCTCAGTGGATAGAGCGTCAGCCTGCGGACTGAAAGGTCCCGGATTCGATTCCGGTCAAGGGCATGTACCTTGGTTGCGGGCACATCCCCAGTAGGGGGCGTGCAGGAAGCAGCTGATTGATGACTCCTGTAAAAAAATCAATAAAGTATATATTTAAAAAAAAAAAAAAGATGATTAGAGCAGACATGAAGCTAACCATAGCATTTTTAGTGAAAGTTTAATCTGAGCATGATACATTGGTGAGAAACAGTTTGGAATCAGACCATCTCTATACCACTGGCTTTGTGACCTGTAGCATTTCCTCCTTTCATCTCTAAAATGGATTGAGTGAACCAGCCAACATTTAACTCCTTTCAGATGATAGTGTTACATTTCCTGCTAGAGACATCAATAACTCAGCACTGGCTTATTTTTCGTTTTAGGACCATCGTAGCACTGGTTTACAATGTGCTGAAAACCCTAATGGAAATGAATGGCAAGCTTTTCGATGATCTTACTAGTTCATACAAAGCTGAAAGACAAAGGTATTTGACATTTTAAATTAATGAGATATTTTCTCCAAGTTAGAATTATCATGTTTAAAAAATCAATTAAGCAGTATGATTTGAAAGTCTCAACACTTTTAAGTTAGTGGTTGGTTAGATTATGATTTTAATGTGAATCAAATCTGTTGGTTACTTTCTGAGCCTTAAACTTCCTCAGTCTTGTAGCACTTGAATGCAATGTGCTAAAAACCCGAATGAAAAATGAACAAGCTTTTTGTACTATTTCATACAATTTGATTTTTTATATATTTATGAAAAGCATTGTTGTCACCATGGACTTCCATAGTGAACTTTACTCTTCATCTACTCCTTGCACATAATAGTGTTTTTAAGCTCCCCATTTAAACAAGGTGGCATGTTAAAGTCATGGGAAGAGAACTAACGTAACGATATGCCTGTCACTCGTACTGTTAATACTTTGTTCCTTGCAGTAATATTTTAGAGAATAAAAGATAGTACACAGTATTTAGGAACTTGGCTTAGTGATTACCTCTTTTGAGAATTTCATAGATTATTACAAAATAATCTGAAATAATATGAGTGAGAAGGAAGTGGTTTTTAAACTTCAGGTGGGAGTAACCACTGTACTTGAGCCCACCTGTCATTTGAGGATAATAGCTACCATTTACTTCTAATGAGTATATTACCTACTCGGTTTGGAAAAGCTCATCTATTTCAATTAGACTAGGATGGCCTTTTCTACCATGACTATCAATAAGTAAGTCAATGCATTATTTCTTCTAAATAGCCCTCTGTTAGACAGGAATATATATTTGAGCCCAGGAACAAATGGAAAGAAAACATGACTAAATAATCATCATATCTTACTCTGCACTGATTAGTAACTCTGTCCCCTTAAATCATATTAGAACTATAAGCCCACATTCTTATATTCAAAATTGAAATTAAGTACTTTAAACAACATATAAAATAGATTAAATTTGTGTTTTGTTTTTGAGAGAAATGATTTGAAGTTTCCATTTGATGTGTAAGAGATGAGAGAGCAAGTTACAGTCTGGTTAGTGCCTAGGAAAGTGATACATTCCAGCGGAAAATGGTCTCAGATTAACTTCAAGGCCAATCTCATATAGAATCTTATATAGAAGAGTGATCTTGACCTAATAGTAACTACAAGAGGTCCATGTAAAAGTACTTTGGTCAAGACTTCCAGTTAAATAAACATCTCCCACATTAAAAAAAAACAACAAAAAGCCAATAAACTCATCATTGAGAACCACCCAAAGACTAGCTGAACAGAACTCATAACTTCTTTAAGGAGTCTGATGGGAGGGATATCTTGACTGCAGAGGTGTCCCCTCCCCCCTCCCCCCCAGGAGTGAGGGGCGCCAGTACAGGTAGGAATGCCCATTACATCTGGCTGTAAACACCATCAGGGATTATGTCCAAGTGAGAAAGAGGGCTGCTGAAGTCCCAGGCATTCCCCTTGAGGGGCCTGCACCAGGGACCTACAGGGCAAGACTTGGAGGGGCAAAGCAGCTTTCGGAAATGGAAGCACTGGTAGGTACAAATCTGAGCTCCCCATTAACCTCGCTAACACATGCTCCTGCGTTGGTGAGTCCTTAAAACTCAGTCCCATTTCTGAGGGGCGGGGAAACTAACAAAATAATTTATATGCGTATCCCATGGACACAGACAATTGGGTGGTGATGGAAGTCAATGGAGGGCGGGGGAGGATGACATCCTGTAATATTTTTAACAATAAAGATACTTAAAAAAAAACAAAAAAACCTCTGTCCGATGCCATCTGCCTTGGCTTGTGCTGTGGACTCTAAGGTCCAAAACCACCAATCAGATTGGTCTCAACTTGTGCTGTAATTTCCATTAGGTGGCTCCAAGCTAGGAATTAGCTGTGGCCATGGTAGCTCAGAACGTAGTTTCCAATAAGCAGCCACAGATCTCAGCTCATTGTGCTGCCCAGCACTATTGGCAGCCAATCTTGGTTTGCCACATACCCTCTTTCAAATGCCTCCAAACACAGCACAAGTGACAGTCAACCACAGATCACTTTGCAGCTCCCACCAGATGGCCCCAAGCAGGGCACAAATGGCTAATATGGGCCTTCCCTCCACACCTCTCAAAACCAAGACACCTGTTAGCCAGCTTCATTTAAAACCAGAGAATCCCTACCCAACCAGCTCACACCACAGCTCCACTAAAGCACCTCCTGCTACATGGAGTCAGTATCCACACAGCAGTTTATCTGCTGTGGTCACTGACATGCTGACAGCAATCGAGACAAAACGGAAGGGCACCCATCTCAAGGGCCTCACAGGGCACTTACTACATAAGATAACTCTGCCAAGTCTGAGAGATATAGATTGACCTAATAAAAAGTAACACGCAGAGTCAGCCAAAATGAGACAAAAGATATATATACCAAACAAAATATTAGGACAAGACAAAGGACTAAATGAAATGGCAGCATGCAAGCTACCAGAAGCAGAGTTCTAAATACTAGTGCAAGGGATGTTCAATGAACTAAGGGAAAAAAATAGATGTAACTCATTGAGAAGTTTGGAAGAGAGATATGGAACATAAAAATGGAGATAGGAAGAATGCATTACAGGGAATCAACAGATTAGAAAAAGCAGAGGGATGAATCAGAGATCTGGAAGACAATAAAAAATAACCAAATTTGGAATACAAAAATAATTTTAAAAATGAGAATAGTTTGAGGGACCTCTGGACCAACATCAAACATAACTTTTGTATCAAAGGACGAGAGAGCGAGGGATTAAAAACCTATTTGAGGAAATAATGACTGAAAACTTCTCTAACCTGGTGAAAGAAATACTCATATTAATCCCAGAGTCCCACATAAAGGCACATCATAGCCTTGCCTGGGTGGCTCAGTTGGATGGAGAGTCCTGTACAAAAAACTGCCAGTTTGATTCCTAGTAGGGGCCCATATGGGAGGCAACTGATTATGTTTCTCCCTGTTTCCCTCCCCCCTTCCTCTCTAAAAAGCTCAATAAAAAGACCATTATAATTTTTAAAAGGTTAAAAGAAAATCTTAAGAGCAGTGAGTTGCATACAAGGGAGCTCTCAAGACTGTCAACTGATTTCTCAACAGAAATTTTGCAGACCAGAGGGATTGGCATGAAATATTTAAAATAAGAACCAAGGACCTACCCAGCAAGACTATCATTTAAAATAGTAAGACAGCCCTAGGTGGTTTGGCCCAGTGGATAGAGCATCCATCGGTTTACAGACTGAAGGGTCCCAGGTTCTATTCCGGACAAGGACATGTACCTTGGTTGCAGGCATGTACCAACTAGAGAGTGTGCAGGAGGCAGCTGATCGATGTTTTTAACTCTATGTCCCTCTCCCTTCTTCTCTGTAAAAAATCAATAAAATATATTTTTAAAAGATTATTAAAATAGTAAGACAGCCCTAGCTGGTTTGGCCCAGTGGATAGAGCATCGACCTGCAGACTGAAGGGTCCTGGGTTCAATTCTGGTCAAGGGCACGTGCCTGTATTGCAGGTTTGAATCCCCAGTGGGGATTGTGCAGGAGGCAGCTGATCAAAATTCTCATCATTGTTTCTAGCTCTCCCTCTCCCTTCTTCTCTGAAATCAATAAAAATGTTTTCTTAAAGACATCAGAGCAGCCCATTGAAAAAAAAAAAGGAATAAAATTGTAGAATAAAGAGCTTCCCAGAAAAAATAAACAAAAACTAAAAGAGTTTATCACTGCCAAATTAGTAATACAAGAAATAAATGTTAGGGGGACTTAAGAAACAGGTGTGGTAGGATAAAAAATAGGAGTAATAAAATGGCAGTAACCAATACCTATCAATAATTACTTTAAATATAAATAGATTAAGTGCTCCAATCAAAAGACATATGGTGGCTGAAATATAAGAAAACAAGACCCATACATATGTTGTCCATGAGAAACCCACTTCTGATCAAATGGCACATGGAGACTGAAAGTAAAGAAATGGAAAAAGACATTTCATTCAAAATGGTAATGCAAAAAAAAATTTTAAAAAAGTAGCAATACTTAGAAAAATAGACTTTGAAATCAAGGCTATAACAAGAGACAAAGGAGGACACTTCGTAATGATAATAGGACCAATATAAAAAGAGACTATAACCCTTGTAATAAATTCACATCCAGTGTAGGAGCACCTAAAATTTATAAAGCAAATATTGGTGGAAATAAAAGGAAAAATAGTAACACAGACATACTAGGGTCTTTAACACCCTATTGACATCAATGGATAGCTCGGACAGAAAATCAACAAGGAAATGGTGCTTAAATGACAAACCAAATGGATTTAATTAATGTGTTTAGATCATTTCACTCAAACAGCAGAATATTCATTATTTTCAAGTGCACATGGACTGTTTTCCGTGATAGGCCACAATGTTAGGATATGAAACATGTCTCAAATTTAAGAAGATTGAAATAATATCAAGTATCTTCTTGGATCACAATGGTATGAAGTTAGAAATCCATTATAAAAAAGAAACTGGGAAACACAAATACATAGAGGCTAAATAAAATACTACTTAATAAGATCGAGACAAAAAGATGCCCCGAGACATGAAAACACAGTGATCCCAAATCTATGGGATATAGCAGTTCTAAGGAAATTCATAGCAATATAGGTCTACCTCATGAAAAAAAACCCTCAAGCTATCTAACCTTATATTTAAAGGAATCAGAAAAATCACAAAATCCAAAATGAGGAGGAAGAAGGAAATAAAGACCTGAGCAGAATTAAAGTTTTAAAAAACAATAGATCAATGAAACCAAGAGCAACTTTTTGAAAACATAAAATTGGTAAACCTTTAACTGAACTCATTAAGGAAGAAAAGAAAACCCAAATAAAATCAGAAATGGGAAAATCAAATGAATGGGAAGTGACAACTGATACCATAGAAGTACAAAGGTTAAAAAGAAAACTCTATGGCCCTGGCTGGTGTGGCTCAGTTGGTTGGCATCCCATGCAGTAAAAGATGGTCCGTTCAATTCCCATTCAGGGCACATGCACAGTTGCGGGATCTATCTTTGGTAAGGGTCGTGCAGGAGACAGCCAATCAATGTTTTTCTCTCCCTTTTCCTTCCTCTCTAAAAATCAATTTTAAAAATTAGAAAACTGAATACCCTGATACATTGTAAAGATCAGGCACCATGATCAAGTGGGATTCATCCTAGGATGCAAGGATGATTCTACACCTGTAAATCAAGTGATATACCACATAAAATGAAGGATAAAATCATGATCATGATCATATCAATAGATGCAGAAAAAGCATTTGATAGAAACTCTCAGCAAAGTGGAGTAGAGGGAACATACCTCAACCTAAGAAAGGCCATATATGGCAAATCGACAGCTAATATTATACTAAGTGGTGCAAAGCTAAATGCTTTTTCTTTAAGATCAGGAACAAGAGAAAGATGTCTTCTTACCCCACTTTTATTGAACATAATATTGGAAGTCATAGCCACAGCAATAAGACAAGCAAATATGAAGCATTCATATTTTAGAGGAAGAAATAAAACTGTCATTATTTGCAAATGACATACTAATATGAGAGCAGCCTAAAGAATCCACCAAAAAACCATTAGAACTAAAGTAAAAAGATACAAAATTAATGCTGAAAAGTTGGTTGCATAAGAAAACAATCCCACTTACAAATGCATCAAAAAGGATAAAATATCTAGGAATAAATTTCACCAAAGAAGTATAAGACCTGCACTCAGAAAACTAAGACACTAAAGAAAGAAATTAGAAAAAATACAAATAAATGGAATGATATACTATGCTCATAGAGGAGCAGTTTCTATCAAAATACCAATGGCATTTTTCACAGAACTAGAACAAATAATTCTAAAATTTACATACAACTACGAGGAGCCAAAGAAATCTTGAAAGAAGAATAAAATTGGAGGTGTCATGCTACCTAATAAACTATACTACAAGACTACAGTAATTAAAACAGGATGGTACTGGCATGGAAACATACCAGAAATAAATGACACCTATATGGCCAATTATAATAAAAGCAGCAAAAATATGCAATGGAATAATGCCACATTCTTTAAAAAATGATACTGGGAAAACTGGACAAACACAAAAGAATAAAACTGGGTCACTTTCTTACACCAAATAGAACAATAAACTTCAAAATGGATTTTAAGACCCAAACCCATAAAACTTAAAGAAAACATAGGATGTAAGCCCTTTGACATTGTCTTAGTAATATTTGCATGTCTCCTCTAGCAAGAGAAACAAAAGTGTGTATATCAAAATTAAAAAAACACCTACTGAATAGAAGATATTTGCCAATGATACATCCAATAAGGGTTTAAAATCTAAACCACATAAGGAATTCCATACCATTTCTCTCTCACTCTCTCACTCTCACTCACACACACGATGAAGGACTTGAATAGAAATTATCCCAAGAACACATACAGATGGCCAACCGATAAAGGAAAAGATGCTCCATATCAGGGAAATGCAAATTGAAACCACAAGGAGATATCAGAAGGGTTATCACCAATTAATTGACAACTAAGCATTGGAGAGAATGTGATGTAGAGAAATCCCCCAACGAAAAACGTATGCTCCCCCATTTTCGTTATTTACAATAGCAATGTTATGGAAACAACCTAAACATTGTGGGAAAAGATTATGGTTTTATATAATACAACAGAATATTAGCCATAAAAAAGAATAAAACCTTACCATTTACAACAACATGGATAGACCTAAAGGGTATTATGCTAAGTGAATTGTGTCAGATAAAGACACACACATCTGGTTTTCCTATATATGTGGATCTAAAAAATCCCACACACACAAAATAAATGAAAAAATAGTTTCATAAATGCAGAGAACAAACTGATGGCTGCCAGATGTGAGGGTGGTTGGAGGAATGGGTAAAAACGGTGACAGAATTAAGTATGAATTGCCAATAATAAAAACAGTCACAGGGGTGTCAAGTACAGCATAGGGAATATAGTCAATAAAATAACTATGCAGGTTGTCAGATGGGTACTAGACTTACCAGGGTGATCACTTTGTAAGTTACATAAATGGCCAATCACTATGTTGTACACTTGAAACTATTATACTTTTTTATGGCACCAATGATATGGTGGGCATGGTGGTGATAGAGATGATATGTAGAAGAGGTAAAATAGTGACTTTAGTTTGGTACAGAAGCACAGATGTAGGAGAATGACAAGGAGTACTGAGGTGCTCCAGGTGATTGTCCTCAAACACCTTAGGAGAGGGATTGAAGTGCAATGTGGATGAACAGTGTTTTCTAGCAAACTGCCAAACTGTTCTTCAGGTTCTGAAATAAAACTTTGCTTTATCTACAGAGAGAAAAAGAAGGAATTGGAACGTGAAGAATTATGGAAAAAATTAGAGGAGCTAAAACTAAAGAAAGCTCTGGAAAACCAGAACAATGCTTACAACATGCACAGTATTCTCAGCAATACAAGTGACAAATAAAGAGAAACATGCCGCCTCTGTTGGATAGGCACAGTTTTGTACAATTTTTTAAAAAATGTAAAAATCATGAAACCTCATCAGTATAATTAAAAGGCCAATTTTTTTCTGGCAACTGTAAATGAAAAAAATACATGGACTAAACATAGCCCTGTGCTTTATCATGGCCACAGTATATTGTAACATTTGTCTAATCATTGATTTATTGTGTCACATCTGAAGTTTCACAGAAATGAACTTTATCATCTATAATATGAGATAATTATGGGAGTGGTAAGAATTATGACTTGAATTCTATTTTGATTGTGTTGCACATAGATTAATAGTCTGCTCTGTATATTTTTCCCTTTTTATAATGTGCTTTTCACATTGCTGCAAACCTTAGTTACATCCTAGGAAAAAAGTATTTCCTAAATAAAACTAAGGTATAATCCTCACCTTTCTCTTTGTCCCTCTCAGAAATATGATGGGGGGAATTAACTGCCAAAAGCCTTCCTCCGTTGGAAATATTACTGTACTCTGGAATTTGAGCAAAAAAAAAAAAAGCTTAAATCTCCAGGTTTTTCAAAGCACAAACTATAAATAAAAGCTAGGAAAGTAAACCAAATTCTTCCGATTGCTCCTCTTGAGTATCCCCCTTACCTGCAACTCCTGAACGATGAGCAGATTGGGGCTCCTCTCAGTTCATTCCTCTTCCTCCCCTCCCGCGGCTGAAGGCAGGGCCCTTCCAGCCCTCAGCACCTGCCCCTGGGTCCCTGCGGACGACGCAGAGCGCCCTGGCCACTGCCCGGCTTCACTTAAAGGAACTGCGGTTGGCTTCTGTAGAGTTCTAAGAAGGGTGACTATAGGAGTCTTGTATGTTTTTACTTGGTCAAATATTTCTCATAAATTTTGTTATCAGAGTACCATTCCAATCTCTTAACTTGCAGTTGTGTGGAAAACTGTTTTGTAATGGAAGATCTTCACTGGGGGATTGAGCAGCATTTAATAAAGTCTATGTTTGTATTTTGCCTTATCTCATCACTGCTTTTTTCAGCTCTAAGTTTAGGCATTCAGAAGCAGCTGTCCCCCTTTATACATATATACACATACATCATTCATACGTGTGTGAATATAGGAAAGCTTAAGGCAAATTGCAGGATACAGTCTTAAAAAATAGGAAGATTGTGCCAAATTGAATGTTCTAGCCATTTACCAAAGTATACCTGTTTTACAGAATATTTGCATAAAACTCAAGTTCTAGGATATCCTTCACGTCCTTCTATGTTCAGAGGATGGATTTAACTTACCTTAAATGTCAGTTTTAATTAAAATAGACCCAGGAGGATAAATGTTGAATGTCTGTAATAAATAACAGCATTTTTGTGAGGGGCAGGAAGATGGTAGCAGAATCAGAAGCCAGGCGTTCTCAAAGTTTTCAACGACTGGTGTCCGATTCCACCCTGTCACACCCAGGGAGAGCTCTAGCCCAGTCTGCACGCTGTGCCCAGGTCCTTGTAAAAGCAACCCGTCGCTCGCTGTGGCCCCCAGAACGCTTCCTGTTCAGTGTGTGGCTCCTAGTTCACCGTGTTCTCAAGCAGCCCCTCACCTGAGACAAATCCAGGTCACGGTGCTCTTGCCAGATCCTCCGCGCTAACCCACGGCCGGCCGGCCGGCCGGGTGGAAGGGCGATCCTACTGCAGAACGAGAGTGAGGCAAGCCCTTCCAGAAAGGGGACGTTCGGGCTGACTGCCCATGCTGTGGAGAAGGGTTAGGCGCGAGCAGCCAGAGCGGACTTCGGCGGGCTGCAGCCAGTATGTAGTTACTTTTCTTTGATGAGTTAAAACTGCTCACTTCCTAACTACCTACTGACACTAAAGCACAATTAAGAGGTCTCAACTTTCCACAACATAGAAAATTCCGTTTTAGGCTGTTCACTGGGGCAAATTTTATTCGCCATTTTAAAGATGTTAACCCTTTGCACTCCGAAACATTCTGGACATTGGCTACCAGCTACTCAAAGCTACTTTGCAGCGGGTGCGTTGAATTAACCCAATTCCCTGTAATCACTAATAAACTGCAATGTCCCCTGAGAGGGGACATCTGAGTGATATGCTAGAATTCCGATGTCCCCTGAGAGGGGGCAGCGGAGTGCAAAGGGTTAACTAATATTAAAGTGGTGGTCGTTTTTCAGAGATACTTTACGAATACACACCTGGTTCTCAGTACTGCTAATGTATGCTTTTATGCCTGGCTTTGCATTTGCCTTACAGTCAGGTTTTTAGAGATGAGGCCGAGGCTGAAGTTTGAATTTGCATGCTCTACGGCAGCAGTCGCCACCCGGTGGTCTGTGAACCACTGCTGGTCCGTGAGGTCCGAAAGGCTGGCGACCGCTGCTCTATGGCACGGAAAAGCAGCAGGAGTATTTCTGTACACAAGTTCACGTTTAATACTTCAGCCAAAACCAGCTTCTTGCTAAGTTAGACATGAGATTTTAAAAAAAAGACCCATCACACATTTGAGTTAACTAAAGGCAGATTATGAAATTCAGGAAATGCTACCAAGTCCTCTTTGGATGCTAAGGGCATGTAAATAATTTAAAACTCTGGAAACGACTTCATAACGTTAAGTCAGCCCATGGCTACCATGTGAAACATACTCCGGTGGTTTTGGAGGGTTAACAGCGGATTCATGGCCTTGAGCCATCACGCTTCCCACCGACTGTCCCACCCCACCTTCCCTGGGCGCAGTCAGGACGTACCTCGGGGCCAGATCCATCCACCTCAGGAGTCCAGGCTCACACCGCCTCTGATTTGAGGCCACAGAAGGAAAGTGTACTGGTGCCTACTGATTTAACAGATATTCATACTGGCACACTGATTCCTTTTGTACTAACCTTTTATTCCTGCTAATAAAACCATCAAAATACATTGAATAGGCACCTAACTGTACATTCACACTAGTGCTTCCGCTTGTTAATCACTCTAAACTCATACCTGCGTCAACAAAAACTCTTAAGATGGCTAGTCAGTCCACAGGAAATCTAATTACAGTATTAACTTCAGAAGTTTCATTTAACGTTTAACAAAGGGGAGAACTTGTCAGAGACCGGACGACGGAAACGGCAGGCGATGCCAGAGACGTCAGTGTGTGCCCTTTGTGTAAAGTGCTCAGGTTTCAAAGCGTGACCTGCACATCCTGGCAGCCACACCCTCGTCCATCCACTTAAAAACCTCAGGGGAAACCCCAGGTAAACAGCGCTGAGCTGCACACCAACCAGACCGGAAGGAAAGGCAGCGTCGACAATCCTTCAGAAACCAGCCCTAGTTCCATCTTCCACAAACCCTATTCACATGTCCTACACAAAACTTCCTGAATAACTTAAGTGCTTAAATAACGTGAAGGTCATCCACTGGATCTGTTCCCCAGCGGCTCCTCCCAGCAGGCCCGTCTCCCAGGTGAGTTCAGGAGTGCTGGTGGCTCAGTCTATCAAAGTGGAAGTGGTGAGACCTCCATTAGCGTGGGCAGGTCCATGGACAGGGTGGCTTCAGCTTATGTGGTTCGTCGCCTGACCTCTCTTTTTAAGGTATCTCTTCCTAATTTTGATCATCCACTTCACACTCAGTTTGGCAAACTCTGCTGCTTTAAATAAAGCCAAGAAGGCCCCACAGAGAAGAGCAATTGTGTTCCAAGGATTGGCTGTGATTATCTGTAAGACAGAACCAACTCAAGTTTATTAGTTTGCTTCGGTTTTGATTCTTAGGTGATACTAGCATCAGTGGGTGATGTGAAAACCACCTGGTTCTAAAATTGTAGGAACTCCACACTCCCGTCACACTTTCACATCCACAGTTCAGTCCTCCCTACAACAAAGTGATTCTGAAAGAAAAAACGTTTTAAAATAGCCATGCGCAAATAAGACAGTACTGAGCTATATGTTTAATACAACCTGTGACATTGCTTTAAGACAAATTTCTCCAAAATTCAACCCAGAAGAGCAGCAGCTCCTCTTGTTTTCCTCGCCTCTCGCAGTGACTCACACTTCTCCCGTCCAGTCCAATGGCCATCCTCCCGCACTCCCCTGGGGCCCCCTGCCTCCAGGCTGTGCCCCCTTCCCCGCCTGCATGCCTCCCGCCTGCCTAGAGCTACTAATCCTCCGAGCCTTCCCTGTTCACTCAGCCAAACCCTCCGATGTAGCAGACATTCACCCCCCAGTCTCTGGGGAGGCACTGCCTGTCTGGGATTAGTCCCTTCACAGCCACAGGTGCTCCCTCCGGAAATAAACTCTCCACGGCTGACGTCCTATTTGGATTTCCGAGATCCCCATCCTGGTACGGAGCACTGTTCAGTCGAGCAGGGCGACCTCAGACCCCTGAACCTTGGGTGGCTGCATCGCCTCCACTGCTGGGGACTGTGGTGAAGCTGAGTGACAGCGCGAGGAGGCCTCGAGCACCGGCCCATTACAGGCACTTCCCAATGAATCAGGTTACGAACGCCTCATCACTTGATTGACGTGCAGAGCTGAAGGCGCTTACTCCTCTACTCGGAGCCCTGATCGCCGAAGCCTCGCTCAAGCCTGGCCAACGCCCGGATACGGGGGCGGTGAGTGGCCGTGGAGCATGCCCGCCTCACAGACCCTCCCTGTGTCATCCCGGCTGAGCGTGGCCACATCAGCACATTCTGGGACGAGCTCGGGGGCTGGCTCTCACAAATGCCTCTCACAAATGCTCCGTGGGCAGAGCTGTCTCAGTGCCCCTTCGGTCTGAGAATCGGCATTAACTGACACTGCTAATTTTTTACGTGTACCTTTCTGTTCTCTCTCATCACAAATATAAGTTCTCATCCTACAGACAACCACTTAAACAGAATGGTTCCCAAAGAGCAGTAATTGAGACAGTAGCTCAATGCTTTCTACTCAGGTCAGTCAATTAATATTACAGCGAAGCAGCTCCTCTGTGCCAGGCACTGTGCTGGACACCAAACAGATGAACAAAAGACAAGGTCCCCACCGTCCTGGGCCGCAGGCTGGCGGTGAAGACAAGACCTCTGAACAAATGCCACCCACACACCTGGTCTGCGCTAGGAAAGGAGACGAGCCTGCAGGCAGCCCACCTGCCTCGCCATCTGAATACTCACATCTTGCACTTTCTGGATGAAGGGATCTTTCCATTCAAAGACCACAAAAAACAGCTGGGCGCTTTTCTCGGCGGCCGGCCTCTGGTCAATGTAGTTGACCACACTCGTCTAGGAACAGAGGAGAGAAGCTGTCACCGGCCGGGGCCGCGGGAACGGGCAGCATGGCCGGGAGGTCTCGGACCTTGGCTCTCCTCACCCCAACCTCATACATACACACCCTGACACCACTGGCTCCGGAGCCCGGGCCTTCCCGTGGCTTCCACAGTTCTTTGGGGAACGAGTAGGATTTGGGATGTACAATAGGTGTTTTTGGATCAAATCATACAGGTGTCACTGACTAAATCATATTCAAAGTGTAAGACTCACAAAAGCCATAAAAATCCTAAACTTCAAAATACTCAATCCTAAGAGCTTTGAGTGGGGGAGAAGGGCCGCCTGGACCCACGGGGGGAGTGCCCCTGTGCACCGCGAGGGGCTGTGCTTGGGGCGATGCGGCTGCCGCTGACTGACGTGGTGTCGGGGAGAGCAGACAGAAGCCCAGCCCGGCCCCGAGGGTTGCGCTCAGCATCTGAACCGAGCCTCTTCTCTGCCTTCCTCACTGAGCCAGAGAGGATCACAGGAAGCACTACACATGAGAGAACTTAAACTTCAAAACCTGATACAGAACATTTAACACTGTGTTCTAGTCCCTGTGCCCTGCCAAAGGCTTCCAACAGAGGCTATGACAAAAAGCACATAAAACACTCTGAAGCCTCTGGCTGGTGGGCCGGGGCCGCCCGGAGAGCCTGGGGGACGGGCCTGCACCTCGCCGTGAGGTGCACACACGCAGCTCAGCTCCTCTCTCAGCTGCGGGGCCCAGACAAGAAGGCCTGGCGTTGTCGGAGGAAAGGGGAGC